CCCTGTGGCTGCCACGTGTCCCCATCCCTGGTGTCCCCATGTCACTGGTGTCCCCCCGTGTGCCCCCACGTCCTCTGTGTCCTCCCACGTTCCTCCAATGTCCCCTGTTTCCCCACGCCCGTGTCCCCCCTGACCTCTGTGGGCCCTGTGGCTCCCATGTCCCCCCTGTCCCCAGTGTCCCCTTTGTGCCCTCAACGTTTCCCTGGTCCTCCCAAACCCTCGGAGTGCCCCATCTGTCCCCATGTCCCCTGTGCCCCCCAAGTCCTCTGTGTCAGACCCAGGACCCAGCGAGGTGACCCTGTTCCCCCCCACATTATCACCCACAGCTGAGCCCTGCAGTGCCACCATTTACTGTAGGACCTACAAAAAAGCAGAGGCAGCAGAATCTGCACAAAAGGCTCTGACTCAGCCCAAAGTGGGGGGGGGGAGCTGTGCAGGGGGACATCGGGGTGAATAGGGGGATCCTGTGGGCACCCCATGGGCAGGTTTGGGATGAGGGATGGCACCTGGAAATCCCATCCTGGCCATGCCAGGGCTTCTCTGGGGTAGGGGGGACAACATGATCCAACACATGAATGTCTGGATGGGAGTGCTAATGATCAATTAATTAATTAATTTTATAAGGCACAAGGAGAGGCTGTCCGTGGCGGGTAATGAACCACTGGGCATTTTGGATGGGCCACATTCCCGAATCCAAAAGCAAAGGCATGGGACAGGGCGGGGGTCAGTGACCCTTAAATGAAGTGCTGTCGGTAATGAGGGTGGAAAATCCCAAAGGATGGATGGATCTACTCCCTAATCCCTGGACCAGCATCCAGCTTTTCCTGCTGTTGATGCCCCGTGTATGTGATGCTCCACCCAGCGCGGATGCAGCTCCCAAGGGATTCACCCTCCAGCCAAGCACTGCATCCCGGCGCATCCCGGCGCTGCCACAGATCCCCCAGATCCCGAATCTTTGTTCCCTCCCGGCCTTTTTCCTGCTCGTTTTTCTGCCCGTCGCCGGGAGCAGCGTCAGGCCAACACTGACATCAAGTGGCTGCCGGGATCCTTCGCTTTCCTGGGCCGCATCCTGCCCTTCCCTGCGCCGGGAGCAGCCCAGCACCACCCTCCTCCTGCCCGGGAGAGGGACCAGCCGGGTCTCCCTCCATGCCCGGCCGGGCGGGTGGGATGCATCCAGCCGTGCTCCATCTGCCCGTCCCCAGCCAGGCCACCCCCGTGTCCTGTCCTGTCCCCAGGACCAGTCGATATCC